GGGCTCTTCATGAGGAAAAAAGAGGAAAAAAAATGCCTGAAGGTGGCCAGTCCATGGGCTGGATTTGTCAGATTTCTAACCCACTGTAGAGGAGAACAGTGGTTCAGTGTTTCAGAGAGATACGACAGCCACAGGCAAAGTTGCCTTTGACACATTTCAGAAACCCTTCTGCTCCTCCACCTTCCGCAGCTTCTCGCTCCCCCCCCAACATGTCCCTTTTCCCCATGTCACATAATGTCACTATGACCTGGGGGAGTAGGGGAATAGTAAACACTTAGGGAGGTGCTCTTCCCTTCCTCCCTTGAGCTCAGGGCTGTCAAGTTTCCAGCTTTCTAGACCACGCTCACCACCAGGCATCTCAGAGGAAAGGGCTTTTCTAAAGGTAACTCCTGGGAGTTCAAAAACCCTCCCCTTCGCACCTCCTTCAATCCATGCAAATGGCAGTAAATTGGTTTCTCCACTCCACCTTCATGCTGTCATTCACCTTTTACCTGCCATCATCATTTCTTGGAAGGTGGAGAACCTGCATAAAACCAGAAGTCACCTGTAAAATGATGATATTTACATTTATGATTCAACCAGCATGGCTACTGCAGCGCATGTGCTCTCCCTTCCTAATACTCTCCATATGCTCTTCAAAGTGAAATGCTGTTTCTGGTGGACAACAGTTACTGGCTGGTGGCATGCCTCCAAAATGATCTAGCAACATTTCCCTCACCTCACGATGGCCTGGATCGGGGCAATGGGCAGCACTGGAGCTGCTGTGTCCTGGAGGGAGATGGAAATGGAAGTGGTAGGGGGAAATACTTTCCCTCTGGTGCGGTTTCCCTTCTGCAAGCTGTCCTTGCCACAGGAGACAGCTTCTTGACCTCTCCTCTCCTCCTCTCCCAAGAAGACAGCTGCTCCCCTTATGTGGCCATCCTTCGGGGCATGGATGCTCGTGGGTATTTGGAGCAAGTTGGAAGCAAAACTGTGGGCATGATTTATACCGTGTTTGGAAGAGGCTGAGGCACAGTACAGCACTGCTGGCCGTCTACTCAAATGAGCAGCGAGTGCTTCTGCTTTTGACTCACCCAGAGGCAGACGGGTGTCACGAGCACCACATCCACCTCGCGACCCTTTTCCCATCCCTCAGCCCCTGGCATCGGTGTGATGACCAGGGCCACCAAGCCTGGCTTGTTCTGCAGGTCGCTTTCTAGTCATTGCCAAAATCACCACCCTTTACCAGGCTGATTTTATAACCTGCTTTTGGGGTACCAGGTGTAAGGGCAAAGAGACCCCTCACACATAAATAAACAAATAAGCGGGGCTGTCTGGTGGGAATGGCCACGCTGTCAGCGGTGACAAAGCGTTCTGCAGTGCGTGCTGCAATAAGGTATTTAAAATCTCATTCGAAAGCTGTCAGCTTCCCTACCTCACAGAACGGAGATAACGAACAGCACATACTTCAAAGCGACGTTTTAAGGACTAAAAAGATGTTGGCGTGGGGCTTTGAAGATGCACATAAATCACAGGTGTTAACACCCAGACCTCGGGTATTTGAAATGGCGGCCGCTTGCAAGGCAGCCTTGACCTCCCCTTGCTGCTGTGGGCCAGAGTGCTGCCGACTGGGGGGACGTGACTACCTGGCTGGCCACCTCTGGTTGCCCCAAACTTGAGTACCAAACCCCATGCATGAGCCAGTTGGCGTGAGGGAAGGCCAAGGCTTTGCTCCCACCACCTTGTCCCTTCCCAACACCAACACCGCCTTTGGGAAGGATGGAAAACAAGGGATTGGGGTCGACCTTGGTGGCTGGGGAGATGTCTACCCGGCTGGTGGCACCCTGCCCGCCACCAGTTGCAGGCAAGCCGCCAATGTCACGTTTTAGGAGAAAGGGCTGTATTTTTCCATGTCCTATTTTCACGCTAATTATGTAAATACATTTGGAAAAAAAAAAAAAGACCTCACTCAAACACCTGACACTGAAAGAGTGTCGAAGTCACCAAGCCCTGTACTGGAGTCACAGCCCTGGCAGCGGGTGGCCACGCGTTTGGGTTTCTGCAGGACCCCTGCCTCCTTTGGGAAATGGCAAGGGAGTTAGGATTTCCTTTCCAGCTGGTTGGGAATCGCTGCTCCTGCCCCGGGGCTGCCTCCAAAGCCACAGATCTTCCACGGGTGGAAGCTTCCCCCCCAACCCAGTGCTTTGTGGGCATTACTGCACCCACCTCCCCCGGGCCTGCGCAGGAGGTGGGAGGCTGACGTTGCAGGCCTTGTTTGGCCTTTTTACTGTGATTTTCATGGTCAGAGCACAGCTCCAAGCACCACGAGGGCTGCTTAACTCTAGTCTCACCCTGGGAATGAGGGCAATCTCTGGAGTATCTGCACACAGGACACCCTATTCTTCTTGGCTCAAGGCAGAATTGGGGATCAGCTCTGGGAAAGGGAGAAGCGAAGTGAAGCACGGCCGAGCCGGCCATGGCTCCCTCGGGTGGGCTTCGTCCCCCAGGTCTGGCAGGCCAAGTCAACTCAATTGAGGGCCACAAAGATGATTAAGGGCCTGGAGCATCCCTCTTATGAGGAGAGGCTGAGGGACTTGGAGCTTTTTAGTCTTAAGAAGAGAAGACTGAGGGGGGGATCTGATCAATGCCTATAAATACTTAAAGGGTGGGTGTCAGGAGGAAGGGGCTGGTCTTTTTTCAGTGGTGCCCAGTGACAGGACAAGAAGAAATGGGCACAAACTTGAGTATAAGAAGTTCCACCTAAACGTGAGGAGGAACTTCTTTACTGGAAGTGGTAGAGCCCTGGAACAGGCTGTCTAGGGAGGTGGTGGAGTCTCCGTCTCTGGAGACATTCAAACCCCACCTGGACACCTTCCTGTGCCACCTGCTCTGGGTGGCTTTGGTGGGGGGGTGTGGACTAGATGATCTCCAGAGGTCCCTTCCAACCCCATATGATTCTGTGATTCAATTAACTGTCTTGCAGCAAATTTCCTCTCTTGGGGAGCTGGGGGGGGGAGGCC